AAAAATCTGTGATAAAAATATTTAATATCTGGGAATATTTCATCTTTAGATAGATTTTTTTAAAAATTATTTTTGCAATTCTAGAGACCCTAAATAAGTGTGAAGAATTATTAAGAGGAATAATGGGATATATTGTTAAGTTAATTCCTCTCCCATGGGAAAAGTGCTTTTGTGGACTTTTTTTGGATTGTTTTTGTGAATCTTTGTATTTTGAAATATTAGGTAAAGACTTTTTGGGTTTATGTACTAGAAGTCTGCACTTGGAGAGTGAGAAAAAGGGAAGAAGGATTCTATGATGAGACTTGATACAAGGAATCTTTACCTGTAGAGAAGTGAATTTTGTTTTTCTATTGTTTTGTGAATATTCAGTGTATACTGGACCTCTGCTACATTCTTGTCCTACAGATCAGAATGGCTGGAACTTAGCCGCTGCTCTTTTTGGGGTCTGTAACTCGACCACTGCCTGCAGTGCTTTTAACCCTTAAACGACCTGGCCTGGGTGCCAAACGCAGATTGCCTTAAAATCTGATGGTAACACTGGTGTCTGCCCTTAAAACTCACTTTTAAAGTGCCACGTGCTGTAAGGGAAAACCCTTGCTGCAGCAAGCGCCGGTGGCGGACACAAGGCAAACTACTTCCCGCAGGGTGGGGTAAAAAACCAAATCATAGAAATGCAACCGGCTAGAGAAGCTCAAGGTGCCTCTGCCCCTGACAAAGGGCAGTCAGCCCAAGCTGTTTCCATCACCGTGGTGACCGAAGGACGCCTGGCTGGGGAGCAGGCTTCTTGGTCCCGCCTCCCCATTTTCACAGGCTTCCCACTGGTCCTTGCACTGTCACTCAGACAGGACTTCTGCTTCCGCCTTCCAGCCACTAGCCTGTACTTCCACCTGGAAATGCTAATGAAAGATAGCTTTTTCAGGCAAAATCTAATTCCACAGATTTCCACATTGCAGCCCTGAATTTAAGTTATTTATGAGCTAAATAACCTGATGATTTTTTTTCTCTATGGTTATGTTACTAAATAATGCTATTAATGGGAATTATCCAAAATATGCTTCTTTATATTTTGCTTTTAATTTTGAAGGTTATGAAGATGTATTTGCTTGCCTCAGGAACAAAAGCCGGCAATGTTCCTATGATAATCAAAAAATCCTTATTGTCATTCCTGACTATATAATTACAAGAAATATATACACAAGGATCTTATTACGTGATGTCATGTATATAAAAAAATGCACTACTTATTCAAGGAAAATAAAAATGGATCCAAATATCTTAAGAACCACGTGGTTACATAAAGTTTAAACAATTATAAGTTATGCTCTTATTCCTGGTATATATTTTTCTAGGTATTTAGATAACCTATAATTGTTAATACATAATTAATATGTCTAATTGTTTATCCATAAAATAATTAACATATCTAATTGTTAAATATATATATTTATCTAATCATTTTTCAACAGAAAACACATAATTTAGGTATTTCTAATACATGCATTTACCTAATGCTCTGCCTTTAAGTTAGATATTTCAGATAAATATATTTTACTATATGGCTGGGGATGTAGCTCAAGCAGTAGCGTGCTTGCCTGGCATGCGTGTGGCCAGGGTTCGATCCTCAGCACCACATACAAACAAAGATGTTGTGTCGCCAAAAACTGGAAAATAAATATTAAAAAATTAAAAAAAATATATATATTTTACTATAAATTTGCTTTCAAGAGATAATTTAATCATCAAGTAATTTCTCGGATTATTGTACAAACTTTATAAGGTGATAAACAAATATAATTCTGTCTACAGAAGTATCCAAGGGCTTTAACTATACTTTTTTTTCTTTAATATTTAGCTTTTAGTTGGGCACAATATCTTATTTATTTTTATGTGGTGCTGAGGATTGAACTCGGGGCCTTGCACATGCTAGGCGTGGCTCTGCCGCTGACCCACAACCCCAGCCCTTTAACTATATTTTCTTTGAGACATTTCTTCTTATCAAGGTACAATAATTTGTTTAGATTCTAAGGTTTTCAGAAGTTGTATCAAAGTATAATCAGAAAAAATTCTAAAAGGAAAAGAAGATACTTTGTTCAACGGAGAGGAAGCACATATTGGAGGTCCTAAGAAGAAAAAAGAAATCATGTTTGGGTAAAACGACGACTTTATATTCTAGATTTTAATGATAACAGTATTTTCCTAAATAGGAAAATATTTATATCATTATCAAGACAGATGATATAGGAAGTTAAAACAATTGAAAAAGAGATTTATATGTACTGGACTGGCTATAAAAATTTTAACCAATTAATTCAAGGATATTTCAAACTTTTTCCCTAATTTTACTATGCTGATGTGACCATATTTTGACATGTTAAAGACCTATTAAAATGTTAAGTTTATTTCCTTTAAGGTCTTTATTGCCTAAGGATTCTTACTGTTTAAGGCAAGGATTAATTTTGGTGAATAAATTTACATCCCTGATTAAACACTAAATACATTAAACTGCTGACTTAGATCCCAATTTTGACAGTTCTCCTTGGAGACTAAATTTGATTGATTCAAAGACACTGATGATTCTTGCATATTATTTTTGTTTGTTGAATAGTTGTGAGATTTGGGAGAATCTTTTATTAGGATTAATGTTCTCCAAATTAAAGTCGTACATTGGTTTTGAACAATAAAAGTTACAAACCCTTCAATTAAATTTTTAAAAAAGTTGCAAACCTTGTTGGAAATTGGTATCATATAAGTTCTCTGATTGGACCTAGGATCCATGAAACATTATATTTATATATTACTCCCTACACTGGGAAGTAATCATATTTTCATAAAATCATATTTTCTAAAAGACAACTAAGAGATACCTAATTAAAAGATAATATTCTAAAATAGACTGATTTTTTGAGATCTTCTCTCAGTAAGAGATTGAGGGTTCTAACAGAGAAGGCCTTTACTCAATTTTATTAAAAAAAGAAAAGGGAGAAAACAGGACCCGTAGGCACATACTAGACCCATTGTAATACTGAGTCTTACTGCTACTGAACAAGATTCAGTCAGTTAATCAGATTTCAAAGGAGAGTTTAAACCTGTGATGATGATGACTGAGCGACCTGGCCCAGGAAGGTCAATTCCCAGCCGCAGAGTTTATAGTCCAGCAGCTTCACGGGCTTGCCAGGTAAGTAAAAACCATGAACAGAGCTCTGTGGACCCATTTCTCAGGTCCACCTTTGATATCCTGGGAAGTCCACCCTGTAACTAGACTAGTTGTACTGATACACAATTACAGACATAGCCTACCATTCCAAACCAACCTGCCCTGCTGGTGTGTCCTCAGAGTTACTCCAGTTTCCTGGGCTTTAGAAAAACCCAAGCTAAATTGGGCGTGGTTGAAATGATCCCAACAACTTAGGTGGAGGCAGGAGGATTCCAAGTTTGAGGTCAGCCTCTCTCAAAAAAAAAAAAAAAAAAAAAAAAGGGACTGGGAATGGGCCTGATGGTAAACTGCCCTGGGTCCAATCCCCAGTTCCAAAAGTACATGAGCGTTGGTAACAGCTTCCTTGTCTGTCAGCATATGGAGCGCCCCCAGATATGCAATCCCTTTTTTTAAGTAGGTGGACATAATGCCTTTATTTTTTATGTATGTGGTGCTAAGGATCAAACCCAGTGCCTCACTCATGCTAGGCAAGCACCCTACTACTGAGCCACAACCCCATCCCCTCCTTTAAAAAATTTTTTTGAATATTTTTAGTTGTTGATAGACCTTTATTTCATTTATTTATATGTAGTGCTGAGATTTGAACCCAGTGCCTCACACATGCCAGGCATGTGTGCTACTGCTGAGCCCCAGCCCACAATCCTGGTCTTTATAAAACTATCACATACAGGGCCAGGCATGGTGGCACACGCCTGTAATCCCAGTAGCCCAGGATGCTGAGGCAGGAGGATCATGAGTTCAAAGGCAGCCTTTGCAAAAAGCAAGGCACTAAGCAACTCTGGGTCAAAGATGAGATAATCATAGAACCACCACCAGCTTCTCAGCTTCAGTCAGGCCTGTGGCCACACACAGGTCAGAGAGGCTCGCTGAAAATGCTTAAATAGAAGTTAAAGTCTGCCATTATCTGACCACATGGAAAATGGGGCATGATTTTGGGATTCAAGTGCATGTTTTCTTTCTTACCCTTCAGTGGCTTTCTGGGGTTGTAGTGATACACACACCTGCTCCCCCTGGGAAGGGGGCCACAGTGCACCTGCAGGCCTCGTGGTGCCCACAGGGTGCCGGGGGCAGCCCCGCTGCCTAGGGACCCACATGCTGCTGTTGGAGCTGGCACCTCGGGGACCTCAGCGGTGTAGGCATGGCACAACTGCAGCCCAAGAGTGGCACGCATCCCAGAATCCTGAGCCCAAGTAGGGCTCACTGCCATCATCGAGGATGCCCACAGTCAGTCCACAGGACTCACTTCTATAAATCAGAGCAACGGCCACCGACTAGTGCTGGGGGCCAGGCTGCACCTTGGGCCACTCCCCTGAGGTGCTGCCCTGTCTGCTGTGGCCTGGACTCAGCCCATGACTCCCCAGAGGATACACACACAGCCCATTCAATGGGCAACGCAGGTGCCACGTCCACTTGACGACAGCTGCCAAGGACGTGCCCTGGGGCAGCACCAGCCAGATACCTCCCAGGTACAAGTGTCTGGTAGTAAAGTTGGAGATCTGGGGCCCAGACAGTGTCCCTCACAAGGCGCCCAGAGCCCCTGCCCCATGTACCTCCCACAGCCCTGCAGGCCTCCTCAGGGCGAGGCAGCACTGGGACAAGAGGAAGTGACCACGATTCACAGCTCCAAGTGCCACTGCACAGGGAGCGCTGAGGCACCACGGCCAGGAGCTGCCCGCGGGAGCCCACCTGCCACTCCAGGAGCCAGAGCCAGGCCCCTGCTATGTCCACGCTTCACCCTAGATGGTCTTCTGGTCACCACGTGCCTCGGAGATGATCTGAAACCAGACTCTGTAACCTGGGCAGTGCAGCACAGAGGCTCTCCACCTGCAGGATTTTATTTTTCTTTGTGGTGTTGGGGATGGACCAGAGTGTGCTCGTTCGGCACGCGCTAACCCAAGCTGCCCCCCAGCCCACCACAGAACTCGTCAGTGAAGCAGCGCGACCCTCACCAGGGTCAAAACCAAGGTGTTTCCCCCCACACAAGGCTGGACCAGAGAGGAGAGCTTCCCTTCTCACAGCTGTCCACAGGGCCATGTTTGAATCCTCTAGGGCTCAGTACCCAGTCCCAAAGCTGTTGTCCCCTTGCTGAGTGAGTGCCATGAGAAGAGGCCCTCCATGGCGGACCCTGTTAGCACTCCGTGGGGGTCTCAACAGGCCTGGCTTCAGTCTGGCTGCTGGGCTGTCTCTGGACCACGCAGCCACACGTGCAGGTGCGAGTCCTGGACCTGGGAACTGGGGCACCTCCACGTGCATTCCTGATGGGAGCGATGTGCAAGTACCAGGAGTGCCAGCTGCCTCTGAAGAGGTCGCTAACACTGACAGAGACCAGCAGACAGGCCCGCTACAGAGGCCTGGAAGGCTCCACAGGCGCAAGGTGCAAATCTCACACGTCAGGAAATGGGGCGGGGGTGAGGGGCTGCTGGGGAGAAGCCCTGGATCACGGAGGTGCGGTCGAAGAGCTGCAGCTATCTGGGCCAAGAGGGCTCTTCCCCCTGGGGTGTAGGCTGCTGGGCCACCTCCTCCTCCCCGGAAGCTTGCTGCTCCCTTTGGGCATCGATCCACCTCTGTGGTGGAATCATTTTCTTAGGCCCATGGGGCGGTGGGCCAATGAGAGCCTCAATGTCCTCATAGTTTATCACTTCCTTTTCCAGAAGGGCATTTGCCAGCTAGAAAGAACAAACACAGCGTTATGCGAGTTCCTGCAACGCAGGACAAGTGCCTTTGAGAGCAGGATATCTGAGACAGGGACGCATTGCAGAGAGCCCCTCTGCCCAGGGAGGCCCTTCTGTGCAGGACAGCTGGGACAGTGCTCTTTCCAAGGGCACAGAGGCACCAGGACAGCATGTGCAAGACCTCCCAACCCCCCCCTCCTGGCCTTGGGACCATCCTCCAGCTGCAAGCCTCATCAACTCTCTACTTCCCTTCCAAGTCTCTGCTTGCTTTCAGCAACCACACAGGTCTGCTTCACAGTCAGTGGGACCCCGACCTGCACCCATCCTCGTCCACCCTGTAGTGAGACCAAGGCTACAGAGCAGGGCTGACCAACCCCATGCACCGATTCACATGCAGAGGCAGGCTTAGCCTGCAAATGAGCTGCCCACAGTGCTTGGTGAGGTAGGGGCTTGGGTCTGGGTCCCCCAACACCATTCCCAGCTGACAGAAGAGCCAGTTCAGTGTAACAAAACAAGAGGTGAAGAAACAGGTGCCCACTGACCTTCTACCTCTGAGGCACAAAGAGCCATCGCCACCACCACATTCTGGTGGCAGTTATCAGGGCCCAGGATCACAAAAGTAACTCTACCTCTGGAACCATTCTCCCCAGAGCCTACCAACCCCACTATAAAAAGACATCAGGCTCAGTGGTACAGTGTTTGCCTAGAATTCAATTCTCAGCACCTTATAAAAATAAATAAGTAGAATAAGGGTATTCTGTCCACCTAAAACTAAAAAAAAAAAAAAAAAAAAAAAAAGAAAAAGACAGACATCAAACAATCCCAACAAGGGAGATCTCAAATCTTGGATAGCCAGGGTGGCCAAGAACAGGGAAGGCCAGGCATGGTGGGACACACCTGTAATCCGAGCAGCTCAGGAGGTTGAGGCAGGAGGATCACAAGTTCAAGGACAGCCTAGGCAATTTAGTGATGCCCGAAGCAACTTAGTAAGACCCTGTCTCATTATAAAATTTAAAAAAGGTTTGGGGAGGTTGCTCAGTGAGAAGACACCCCTGGGTTCCACCCTTAGTACCAAAAAAAGTTCATGACTACTGAAGCTGAGTCATGTGGCCATGAGGGAAGAGCATGCTCTTCTATGGGGAGGGACTGCCTGGACACATGACAGAGACTAGGCTGGGCTAACTGGGGTTTGTGGGCACATTTGAGTGCTACAGGGAGAGGGAGGCTGAGCCAGGTGCCCGCTTGGCCCTCACCGCCTGCAGCTTGTCTAGGTTGTCCAGCAGCACCTTCTCGGTGTGTCTGTAGGCCTTGGTCACCAGCAGTTTTGCTTCCTGTGGAGGAAAGGGGCAGATCTGTCACAGAAAGGACAGCTGACTGCTGTCTACAGACTCATCCCCAACAGCCAGTTCCAACACCTAAGTGCAGGGAAGTAACACAGGCACACACCTTCTAGCTCTCGTGACAAGCAGTGGTCTCCTGCTCGCACCCGTGTCCAGAAGCCTGCCCACCTGCAGCTACTCACACCCTGCTGGCTGTGGCTGTAGGGGTCCCACCTGTCCTCTGCTGAACCCACAGTAGCCACATGAGCTGCAGCAGCTGGAGCCATCCCAGGACAGACCTGCACACCATCCTGGCCCGGCCACAGGCTGCAGGGTGGTGTATACTGGCTTTTGTTCAGTGCACTTGACATTCTCCACAGATTTGCCAAGGAAACATGCTCAACGGGCCAGGGTGACACCAGCACTTGAGAGAAGCGAACCCAAGTCAGTCTGCAGCAGGGTACTCGGGCAGCAGTGGGCCTCCTGAGCGGGACAGCTAAACACCGGCAGCAGCCCCAGGGGCCCCTCTCACTCAGCAGGGCTGTGGCAGGGAGGCCTGAGCAGACTCACATGGTCCATCATCTGCTGGAGGCCCTGGCTGAAGGGGCGTCGTCCGATGCCCACGAAGCCCTCTTGTGCCTCGGGAAAGGAGACAGGCCCGATGCCAGGTGCCATCCCAAACTGCTTCACCATGGAGTAAGCGATGCGGGTGACCTTCTTCAGGTCATCCTGGGCCCCTGGAGTGCAGGATCAAGGAGGGGCACATTTCAGGAGCCCGTGGGGCATAGGGGCACCAGGTTCCAGGTCCCAGGTCCCATCAGAGCCCATGAGGCGAGGAACTGCACTCCCCTAACACTTTATCCCCGAGAACTTTCACTGCAATGCAGATTATCAGGAGTCTGCACGTGGTTCCTGCTCCTTAACGGAGAACCTTAACACTCTCAAAAATGCTCTTGGTTAGCCAGGTACAGGGCTGCATAACCCCAGAGACTCGGGAGGCTGAGGCAGAAGAACTGCAAGGCCAAGGCCAGTTTTAGCAACTTATGAGACCCTGTCTCAAAATAAAAAGGGCTGGGGATGTAGCTCAGTGCCCTGGTTCAA